CTGTGACCAAATTCATGCACGGCCACACAGTAAAGATCAGCAGCTGTAAAAAAAATGTAAAATTATACAAAAAATTAATTAAAAGGTAAATATAAAAAGATAATGATACTGTTGGTATCCGTCTGCCCAGGTTTTTCTTCTTAAATGAGTGTCAGGATTCTAAACGTTTAACAACAACGACAACACATCTTTTAAATGAAGCATGTAAAGGTTATTTTCTGAAGGAAATGTAGAAGCAGGATGTCAGTTGAAATAATATTTATATATTCTTTCCAGAAATATACAATAAGAATGAAATGTTCCATTTTTCTTACAGTGAAGTTTGTTTTATAAAGTAAATAAGTGTTCTTAGTGCAATGTGAAATGTGTAGACAGACTTATGTTTCTGTTAGTGTGTAGACAAAGCCTTAGTCATCAGCTGCTGGCTAATCTCTTCCATTATGTGTGTGTGTGGGTGCATATGTACACATGTGTAGATCAAACAGGCCTCTGAAATTGTTTTGAACCTTGAGAAGTATGCTTCTATTTTTATATCTGTAGGGATTCAAAATCTAATTTCACATAGAGGTGTGAACTTTTTGAATGCAAGGTTTTCATTAGTTAGAAAATAATTTCACATACAAAAACATGTATCACACATGCAAACAAGTACATTTTTATAGCTAGTTTTAATTTGATTTTTTAATTAGTTTGATTTCAGTTGTCTGTACATGTAATTCTTTTTGTTAATAACATGTATTAATTGTTGTCTGTTTTAAATTCCATAGTTGTATTATTTTTACCCAAACTCACATGAGTTGGCCAATACTGTTTGTGGGACAAATGTTCTAGGAGTTCATAAATATTTACTATACTACATCCACACAATCATATCAAAAGTGTTGATTCCTGCAACAGTCTCAAATAATGCCTGCTAACAAATGTATACTTCCATTATTCAGTGAGTCGTCTGGGTTTTCAATGACAAAAAAAAAATTTCGGCATTTTTATTCATTAGTTTAATTCCTATTTTTATACACAAAGATTTTCTAAAAGGGTCATTGAAATATATGCCAGACATATTTTTAATATTTAAATTCTATTAATTAAATTTTATTCTTACAGATTTAAAGTGCCATTCAACCTTCTAATAACTAATATATTATACAGTATTTTTACAAATAAATAAATGCATATGATTTGTTTATCGTGGTGAAAGCTTTGTGCAGAACCAACCACACTTTTTGAAGAGCTGAATACAGAGACATGGTGCACTACGTGCCACAAGGTCGCCAAACAACCCTCCACAGGTTTTGAATTCAGGGTTTTCTCTTTAACTGTTGCCATTGAAGGCTATAGAACCCAGTCTGTCCTGCTATTTTTACCTATAGCTGTAGGGAGAAGAAGAGGACTCATACCTTTCCCAAGGGTATTAGCACATAAGTGAATATAATGGATTCAACTGGAATTCGACTCGGCTCCAATCTGAGCTACTATCCACTACACCACTGTGCCTGTGCCTCCTCATATATATATATATCTATATATATATCTATATATATATATATATATTTAGGTAAAAATCCATTGGTATATAATCCAAGTGAATCCTAATAATATAAAATATTAAAACTGATCCACAAAGAGAGCTCAATGTATTTATTATAACAGAGCATGGTAATAAGATAAGGTAATAAGATAAAATAAAATGAAACCAGGCCTAAAGCCATTACCTTGTTTGGTTTTGGAAATCCTTACAAGTAAATCTTAACTTGTAAAGTGAAATGATCATAACTATGAGGTAATTTTAAATTTTCTATTGTAATTAACATGTATATATATATATATATATATATATATATATATATATTAATTACAATAGAAAATTTAAAATTACCTCATAGTTATATATATATATATATATATATATTATTCATTTTTTAATATATATATATATATATATATATATATATTTATATATATATATATAATGAAATAATAAACAGTATCAAACAACAACATTTACCGGCCTGAATGTCCAAAAAATTTTCATAGAAAATATTCATCCCCCGACAGGAATCAAACCTGTATCCTATACAGAACAGTCATATAGCCTGATGTGCCTTTAACCAATTGGGCCACAGAGGAGCATTCGGTTAGCAAGGTCAATTTTACTGTCTTTAAACTACAATCTTTGATTATTCTCTCACGTACATTCATATCTGCTCATGGCATATCCAAATGTAAACAAATGACGTCACAAATTATTTAAAAACAAGGATGTCTGTATTAACCCATGTATCCACTAAATATAACATTTACTTTAATAAGAAATAATGTTAGATTTTGAAGGTCATTCAAAAAGTTCTAAGCTTCACCCAGAAGAGCCATAGCTGAACATTTTTGTTGTGACAACACACTACCACTTCTTATAAAACTAGAAAACCTAATTCAGATTTCTTTTAATTTCTGTGGAGGTGTGGCCCATACAAAGGTGAGAGGTGTGTAACAAATTTAAAAATGGACAAAAAAGAGGCCCTAGCTGTCAAAAAGTATCTGCAAAAGAAATGTATGTCACCCAAGGAAATTCAGGATGATATGGCACAGACACTTGCTAAGATCTCCCCTTCCTATACAACTGTGAAGAAGTAGGCTGCAGAATTCAAGCAGGGCAGGGACAGCACAGAAGATGACCCTGAATTAGGTCATCCAAAAACCTCAACCACTGATGAACAAGTTGATGCCATTCACTGTATGGTTTTCAATGACAGACATCTTATTCTCCAGCAAAAAACTAAGTCCATAAGCATTAGTTATGGTGCAATTCATACTGTTTTAATTGAGATCTTGGAGATGAGCATTCTGTCTATAAGATGGGTCTCAAGAATGCTGACAACAGAGGTGAAGCTGAAAAGGGTTGACATTTCCAGGACACTTTTGAATTGCTTCCAGGCTGACCCTGAAAATTCCCACCACAGATTAGTAACTCAAGATGAAACTTGTGTTCACCACTTCAAACCTGAATTGAAGATTCAAAGTAAACGGTGAAAATACTCTGGTTCTTCACCCCAAAGAAGTTCAAGGAGGCTTCTGTTTTTTTTATTCTTAAGGTATAATCATGATAGACTACTTTGAAAAGGGAAGCACTATTAATGCACAGTAGTTTGCATCAGAATTAAGAGAACTAAAGGAAGTAATCAAGTTGAAACACAGATGGAAGCTGAGGATAGCACACCTGTTCAGATTGCTAGGGTTGCAGTAGCTAACTGTGGTTTTGAATTACTACCCCATCCCCCTTACTCACCAGACATATCTCCATCTGACTTCTTACTTCTTTAACTCAAATGCCTCCTGCATGGTCACCATTTTAGAAACAATGATCAGATCATATGTGCTGTTTTTGGAGGACCAGAATGCCAGTTTCTTCCATGATGAGATTGCAATGCTTAAGCATCATTGGACCAAATGCATTGATGTCAGGGGGGACTATATTGAAAAATAGTAAAAAAAACTGTATTGTTTCTCCAACTCCTTCTGGGTGAGGCTTAGAATTCTTTGAAATCTTCGTATAGATAAAATCTTTTAATTCCTTAGATATTAAAATGTTTTCATCTATAACTCATTTTTGGAATTCATTTCTTTGGATTATTCTAGTGCTTCTTTCTGTCATGTTAAGGTGTCAGTATGTCAGAGATATACTAATGCCTCTAGTAGATCGTAAAGAGTAAAAAAGATTAACATATTTTTTCTCTCTTTCCAAGTTCCCTCGCATGACCAAAGTTTATGATTGGTAAATTATTTGTATATATCATCCTACAGGTCTGTTTCACTTGGAAACAATGAAGAAGAATATTTTACTTGTGTTCAGATCCATTTCTGATCCCCAGTCTTCATCTGCATCAAAATGTGCATCTCCTGAAAGACCAGGAGAATTGTCATATGGAAAGAAAGCATGAGCAAGTATTCCTCCATTGCCATCAAATGGGCTGCCATCTCCATGCCTTCCTGTCAAGAAATTCACTTCAATATCAGCATAGCCATAACGTTTCTGGGTGAACGTCAACAGGGTAACACTTTCCCATGCCTTAATCAGAAAGAAAATCATAAAAACAAAATAAAAGACAATTCAAGTTTACAACTGTCATAAAATAAGAGTTTGAAGCAAACTGTGCATAGACATTGGAATAAAAACAGAACTGTAAAATTTTTTCTCATCAAAATCTATCATGCACATTTATAAATCTATTGTTTGAATATTGCTGCCATATCTAGTCTGGTGCTCTGGCTGTATATCTTGGGATTCTTACCAAAGATCCAAAGAAAGGTTTATAATTTTACCAGTCCTGACCTAATTTTTTTTCTTCAACTTCAATCACTTTCCCACTGCTGTAATGTAGCACCTAACTATCTTTTCTATAAATATTTTCATGGAAGTTTTTCTAATCTCTCCTTCTTGGTTCCTCGACCACTTGAATTTAAGTATTCCATTATTTTACTGTTGAACTGGCTAGATGTAACCCTAAGTTCAATTCTAATAGCTTCTTTTCTTTCACTTTTCACCTGTACAACTCTCTTCCAATTTCTTGATTCCCTGCTAGCTACAATCTCCAAAACAACAGTTAACATCTTCCTGAGCCCTGTTCTTTTGTTGGCCTTCCTCTTCACTTCTCTTCACTAAAGTCTCTTCACATTCTCTCTCACTACCAGTAACCCCTGGCACCACAATCCTTAAAAATTTAATATGCAACATCAATCATCATCTTCTGTCTTCCCGAAACCTGTTCTTTTATTGTCCTTTCTCACCACTAAAATCTTCTCATTTTCTTTCACTCCATAATAGTTTAGTGAATACAAGTCTTAGTAATTAACCTATAGCTGGAGGGAGAAGAGGTGGATCCATACCTTTCCCAAGGGTATTTGTACATAAGTGAATATAACAAAAACAATAGGAACTGGGACTCAGCTCTAAAATGAACAATTCCAAGCCATTATTCATTAAGCCAACTGCAAATCCAAGCTTACTGCATTGGTTATTCCCCAGTGGTCACCCGTCTAGGTACTGACCAGACTCAATGTTGCTAAACTTCAGTGATCATATGGGAACTGATGTTTCAACATGATATGGCTGTCAGATTTTGCTTTGAGTGAAATGATTGACAAAAAAGTTCTATCTATGCTAGAAGTATGAATTCAGAAGTCATGGGTTTAGTCTCCACCATGAATATTAAAGCCCCCAATCCTAGGAGGGTAGGGGTTACAGAACTGTTAACTTAAAAACCTTGAAATTCATATTTAGATTTTGATCTCTAGTTTTTACAAAAATATGAAACGTTATTTTTACCAAGAACAAGGAGAAACAAAAAGAATTCAAAGACAGATCCATAAACATCATTCTTTGAATTCACAGCAGTTATTTTTAACAGTAGTGTGATTTGGAACCAATATTAACGCCTTTCATTTCAATGTTTTACTTGTAAACAAGTTCTGTATCAGTAGATCTGTCATCAAAAAAATGTTTTCTCCACACAGTCTAACTGAATGATGGCCCAAAATGTTTTCTTTTTTAAAAACATGCAAATAGAATCGGAACTATTTTCACTTTGCAGATTTTTTTGTTGAGAAAGCTTATAGTGTTGAAGGTCTTTGGGATTAAAATGAACAGTTGATTTACCTATGTCAAGAAGATTAATGAAGGATATTAATGATGACGCAAGCACACAGGTAATTTTAACCAAACAAGATAAGGAATTTAATGATGAATAAACATGCTTGAAGTTGTGTCAGTCGCTCATTTCAGGAAAATAAATCAGAAACATTTAAAGTCCACAGATTTAATGAATGGTCATGAAGAGGAAATGTTCATACAACAGATTAAATAATCTGACACGAAATAAGAGTCAAAAATGTTTAAAACAAAGGTAAAAGAGTTTGTTAATCACCAAAGTGATATACAGTTGCGTATTAAAAAAGTAGATGAAGAGAGATAGCTTGAACAGCTTAGCTTACATGGATTATTGAAAGAAAGTTCTTTGAAGTGCAGCATGTTGGATTAAAAGGCCAATAATATAATTGGCGAGTAATTTGACACTGACAAAAACTTCAACACTGGACATGGCGAACAGAAACAAAACCTTTTCACATGACTTCAGACTTATGAATTAAATTTTTATCCTCATTTTATATTAAAAGGAATTTTGTATAGGAATAGGCTTGCTGCTTTCTATTTTTTCTTCTTCTTGACTCAATGGCTAATTTATGTGGAGACAAGTTTTTCATTGGTCCCAAAGCAATTTCACATATGTTTGAGAATATATTTCTGTCTTCTTCTCAGTTCACCGGTCTCTGTGAAGGCAAGGTTTTCATTGGTCCAAAGAAATCTTCACATAGGCTCACAAATTGTTTTCCATCTTTTTCCTCGATCCTCCAAATTTTAATGGGTAAAGGGAGTTATTATTATTTAACACTCACTACAAGCTCAATGATTTATTTACAGGAAAATCTTCTTGTATTATTCTGAACTATTTTCATCATCTTGGTATATATAGATATTATAGAGACAAAGTTTCAAGTACCCTCTGGTCATCATCAGGTTGATTGGATGATATCTGTTGATTATTGTGATATTTTGTCTGTGTGATATCAGATATTGTTTGTTCTTGTTGAATCAATGCTTCACTACCAGATCCAAGGATTGAACACATGACCACTAGATGACAACTAAATTCTATATCCACTACACCACTATCTCAATGGATGTTAATGCTATGTTTTTGAAGCCTTTTTTTTATTCATTGTCAGATTTTTTTTTGACATTTGGTTATGATGGTAGGTTCTTACTGATTTTCATAATTTAGTATTTCATTTCAGTCAATCAATGGACACCTGATGATGGCCAGAGAATATTTGGTTGAAATATTGTGTCTATAATAACATCTATATTAGCCAAAATGATCACCCAGAAGATTCTTCTGCTACAATTTGGAGCTAGATAGTTACAGTACTTGTTATACTTTTTCTTTTACTACTACAAACAGAACCCCACCCTCATAATATAGTAACATCACCTAATTTACAGCAGTGGGGACATACACTACCAATTGCTTCAGAGGTTTTACTTTATATATATAGAATAAAAAAAGGTTTTTAAATCAACTTACATGCAGTGCAGCACTGATGATTTTTTCTACAGCTCGTTTGTTGGGGAACTTGTGTGGCATATTAATAATGTATGTAAGATCATTCTTGTACCATCTGGAGCCTGTGGACAAAAAGAAAAATCATCTGAATACATTAAGAATCAATATTTCATAAGGAAGAACTGTGGTTCCTCTTGTTTTAATTTATTTATACAAGGTGGTTTAATTATTAAAGTACTCTGACTATTTTCACCAAGCAAACTTTTAGTCCTGCCAATGCAAGTTGAATTTGAATTTCTTGTTTGTGTAGTCATATCCTTCTATGGCAACACCTAAAACAATACTGACTGAAATTGAAAGCCAGGCAACTGCAATTTAAATATATAGAACTAATATATAAAACACTACATTTTGAGGGGAGAACTTCTGATTTTTGCCTTGTTCCATGCTTAGCTAAAATGAACAAAGTGTCATGATAGAATTCAAAGTGGGAAGGGTTAATATTTCTGTATAAAGAATGATATAAACCAAATAGAAAATTGACCTGAAGAATTTCCTGTCTTCTTTTATTTTGTCTACAAAAAACTTTTTTCCTTATGACATAGCTTTGCCAAACCAATGCTACAATTGCTGATGACAACTCAGTCTTTGCTGGCTCCAAGATCAAAAAGCACAACATGGCAGAACAGAGCACAGACTGAAATAGACACTTCAGTGACCAGTGTAGGAATTGATCAAGGACCAAGCAGCAAGAAGTGTCATATATATATATATATATATATATATATATATCTATATATACACAGACAATGACACATGGTGCAATGGGTAAATTGTCGACATTTTATATTTTTAATTTCATGCATGCATGTTGTTTATTTTTGCTTTTTCTTGACTGCACATTATGGTAAGGTCAGTTGGGCACTGTCTGTCTGTGAGAAAAAGGGCATCATGATGCATTTCACTCCACCAGAAATTTGGAAATGGCATGTTATACTGACTGACATTCCTACTGACATTCCTACCAGAAACTCCAACACAAACATTCAAGAATGTTTGGGTGTCAATCTGAGGACAGTGCAGAGGATTTGGAAAGAAAGAGTTGGATGAGTTTAATGGTGATTTCATAGGTACAACAACACAGAAAACATGCTCTGATCATTCTGATAAGAAAAGAACTCCTGAATTCATTGTTGAGAGCCTCAGACTCAGCACAGAGGCCTACATCAAGTGCCTTAAGGTAGTAGTGATGCCCTGGGTCAAGAGGATGACTGCTGAGAGGACTCTGCACCATGCCACACAAGCAGGAGAACCCAGTCATTGCTGTCAGACAATTTCTATGACTACATCACCTCTTACATCTGGCCACCTAACTCCCCAGACTGCAACCCTTTTGATTATTATGTGTGGGGTGCAGTTGAGCGAGAAACCAACCAAACTCCTTGTAACACCAAAGATGAACTGAATGCAAAGATTATGGCAGCATTCACTAACTTAAACAAGAAGGTTGTCCAGAAGAGATGCTAGAGATTCCAAAGTCATCTGGAGGCCATGATTGAAGCCAATAGTAATTTGATTGAATAAATCTACTCTTTAGTATTTCAAGATATTTTTATGTAATTGTGGTAAACATCTTTGTCAAAATGAAATGTCAGTGTTATTTTCATTTTGCATAATTTAAATGACAATTTATTCATCACCCTGTATATATATATATATATATATATATATATATATATATATATATATATATATATATACACACACAGTGAGGGGTAAACAAATATTTGTACACATACAAATTTTTAATTTATTGTATTTCCAACTAATGAATAAACATACTTTTTGTATGATTAACTATGCACAGATACATAATAACTAAATATGAAAACAGAAAAAAATTGATTTAATAGAAATAAATCCTATTTATCCATTTTAATAGGTGAAAAAGTATTCATACAATGCAAATTTTAGATTTTCAGCATCAGCATGCTTCCCTAGCACAATTTTTGGCCTTGTGCCAAAATTGTATTTTATAAAATAAATCATGCAAATTTCAGATTTTAAAACTTTTAAATTACTTTAATACTCTAGATTATTCAAGTGGAATATTCTAGAATGTTTCAATAATGTCATCAGTAGTTATTTTTACCATAAAAAATACAAACAGAACATTCTGTAATTGATATTCACACAAGAAGGTTATCATCATGGCAAGAGGTAAAGAATTGACAAATTTAAAAAAACAACTGATTGATAATCTCTGGAAAGAAGGTAAAAGATGAGAAAATAATATATATTTTTATATATCAAGTACAGTATTGTGGAAATTTTAAGACAAAATTGAAAAAGTTTATTTGTGACATGTCACAAATAAACTTTTTCCGTATATATATATATATATATATATATATATAATTACATGAATCATTCATACAAAAAACAAATATAGAGGTTAATGATTTAAACGGCGAGAATACATCTTCGCAAACAATTTCAATAAGATACACTAACCCCAAACCTGTATATGAATGATATGATGAATTCTTTTTTACTGGTATTATTCGAAAGTTGCATGTTGGATCAGTTATTTTAATTTCGATTATAGGTGTGACATTCCTGTAATTATTGAACAATATAGTTCATGCCACATTGATGGAAAACCTACCAGTAAAAAATAATTCTCTTATTACTATATTTGTACAAAAACACACAACCTTAAAATTTAAAATTCAAACTCAGCGTTGCAACCGCATGTTCCAAAACAATAACACATTTCTCATAGCATTTTTTCGGATCACATCTATATTTTCGTTGTCCTCTTATTACTGAGAAGTAAAAAACAAGAACAAATCTATTTCCATACCTGAGGATGTCTGTAGGAACAGACGAAAGCTTGTAAAAAATTAAAAAGACCTTATGCAACTGGAATTTATAAACAGGGATCATATCATTCATATACAGGTTCGGGGTTAGTGTATCTTATTGAAATTG